GATTCATCCTGTAAACGATTCAACTTGTAAACGATTCATCCTGGAAACGATTCATCCTGGAAACGATTCATCCTGTAAACGATTCAACTTGTAAACGATTCATCCTGGAAACGATTCATCCTGGAAACGATTCATCCTGTAAACGATTCATCTCGTAAACGATTCATCCTGGAAACGATTCATCCAGGAAACGATTCATCTTGTAAACGATTCATCCTGTAAACGATTCATCTTGTAAACGATTCACCCGGGAAACGATTCATCTTGTAAACGATTCACCCGGGAAACGATTCATCTTGTAAACGATTCACCCGGGAAACGATTCATCTTGTAAACGATTCATCCTGGAAACCATTCATCCTGGAAATGATTAATCTTGTAAACGATTCATCCTGGAAACGATTCATCTTGTAAACGATTCACCCGGGAAACGATTCATCTTGTAAACGATTCATCCTGGAAACCATTCATCCTGGAAACGATTAATCTTGTAAACGATTCATCCTGGAAACGATTCATCCAGGAAATGATTCATCTTGTAAACGATTCATCTTGTAAACGATTCATCCTGGAAACGATTCATCCTGGAAACGATTCATCCTGTAAACGATTCATCCTGGAAACGATTCATCCTGGAAACGATTCATCCAGGAAATGATTCATCTTGTAAACGATTCATCTTGCAAACGATTCATCTTGCAAACGATTCATCCTGGAAACGATTCATCCTGGAAACGATTCATCCTGGAAACGATTCATCCAGGAAACGATTCATCCAGGAAACGATTCATCCAGGAAATGATTCATCCTGGAAACGATTCCTGATGGAGTTCCTACTGGAAAACTGGAACTGAAGGGATTTTAGTCAGTTTCTGAACCGTTCATCCATTCATCCATTCAAAACTTTAAAAAATATTTTTTTAACGAGTCCATTCAGACAGTAAATCAACAAAATTCATAAAATATGAATCNACATATTTATCACACAACAGTAAATCTATTAAGTTTATTTAATGTTAAATTTAATGTTTGCAGTTTACAAAAAACAAAGTTCAGTTGCTCAGACATAAGAATTTAACATTGAAGTACAGAAATATTAAATTCATCATCATTGACGGATACAAAAGGTTATTGATAAAAAGGTTGAAAGTTTAGTGGAAGGAAAATATCTTTATAAAATGAAATATTGGATGTAAGCTGTGATAATCAAAATAGACATTTATTTTTTTATGTAAAGCTGAAATAAATGTAAACTTTTTGGTTTTCAGTCTCTACATTAAAGCAAAACTTCAGTTAAAACCGACGTCAGAAGGAGATTTGTAAGTCATTTAAAGCTCAGTGAGAAAATATATCATTATTAATTTTTAATAATAAACAAATAATGAACTCAGTTTGTAGCATGCTATAAGATTATCACAGGATACAAAGTTAAACAGATTTTTATATAAATGTACATAAAGTTGTAGATTATTTCAGTCAAATTTAATTTGACTTGTTTATTGAAATAAAGCTGGAAATTTGAGAGTATTTATTCTCCGTCTTCGCCATAAATTTAATGTATTTTCCCTCTGAAAATGTTTATTTTGACCAAAAATGTGTAGAAAACCGTAAAAACCCAGAAAAGCCTGATGAAGTGTCAGAAGTGATGCTGAGGTGTGAACCTGTCGCCGCGTCACATCTTGGCTTTGTGGCTGCAGTACAGATGGTGGCGCAGGAAGCTGAGGATCTTCCTCCAGGAGTCGTCCTGAGCGTCGCTGTGCGGCTTCGTTTTCCCTCCGTAGAGCTGGATCACTGCAACACAGCCCACACGTTCAGCACAAACCGCACAGGCTTCCCCTTCCTGCCACAACCAGCAGCTTCTTACTGGAACCTCGTCAAACAAAGCAATCTCAATCTTGTATAAATATTGGATTTATTGATGCCAAGTCCCACCATCAGGTGGCAGCATTTCTCCCTTCTCTGCTGCTTTGGTTTGACATAATGTCCAGTTTTCATCTGTTATCGACGTGCCGAGTAACAAAATGTCACATTTAATGTCCTACAAGAGCACAAATATTTAGAAATTTGCTCCACAAAATCAGTGACTTTGATCATAAAATAGTCATAAAATCCTGAAATATTTATTAATAACTCAACAGTTTGTTTAATGGGTTTTATAGGTGCATTCTGGGTCGACCGGCCCTTTAAGAACATTTGTTTATTCAAATCTGCAACAGTTTTCATCTCATTTCTGTAGCATAAGTGTAAATGAAGCATCTTTTCTGAGCGTGCTGCTCACCTTTTTCGTTGGAGCTGTAAACAAAGAAGTTCCCGGCGAAGCAGTGAGGCGAGAACGGCGGCTCGATCAGATGTCCGGTGTCAGGGTAGTCGACCCGGGTCAGCAGATGGCCTTTCCCCGCAGCGTTCATCGTCTTGGAAATCTTGGAGGGAAACAGGGAAACTTTCACTGCAGACTGAAATAAGAGCCGAGCTCTGATGCGGTTTATTCAAACCGATAAGGAATAAAAAGACGAATCTGATGAATTTAAGGGAAGCAGACGTTAGACTGAACTTTTAGCTTCAACAATAAGACACAATAATATGAAAATAAAGTTGTAGAAACAGACACAGTCATTTAAAGAACTAATTCAAGGTCCTCTATTGATAATAATCTGACGCATTAATAGATTCAGTATTTCCTAATCTATGAAACCAATAACTTCACAAAACTCTCAAATCCTCGTTTTACTGCCGTTGTAAAACCATTTTTTGTGTTGAAGTTCTCTTAACATGACTTTTTTCTTGCAATGCTTTGAATTTATTCTTGCGCTAATTTTTCCTCATAATTTTATGGCTTTATTCTGCTGATAAGAGTTTATTCTCATATTATTTCCACTGTATTCTCATAACATGACTAATCTCATACAAGCTTATTCTCATGACTTTAGGACTTTGTTCTCATTTCATTTTACGGTTCCTGTGGATGAAAACGTTTCTGTATGATATTTATTTTAAATGATGTGTCAGACATTTGTTTTCAGAAAAACCGGCTGTGTGTAAACAAAAGTCGATCTGAGAAAAATGAGCGAAGATCCAAAGATCTTCTGAGAGCTGAAACTCACATCATCGGCCGTTTCCACCGCACACCAGTTCTGATCATCACAGCCGTTGACCAGCATCAGTGGACAGTTTATTTTGGCCACCTTGCAGAAACAAAAGCTTTAAATCGGCTGTGAGGACATGGAGTCGTTTGTTCAGGAAGCCGAACCGGAAACACTTACGTCCACCTTCATGGAGGGTTCCTTCAGCAGCGCCAGCCCCACGTCCCTCCAGATCTGATGGTTGTTCTCATCCACGCGGATCTTATTGAACTTGCTGCCAACACACACAGAGGCTCAAACCACGGAAAAACTCCAGTGTTCCCAGTGCTCCCAGTGACCTACCTGGGAATGCTTCGGTGGAACCCGCTGAGGGTTTTCCCTGGCGATTTGTTGATCATGTTGCTGATGCAAACGACGCAGGAAGGCTGAAACAGAAACACGGCGAACATCAAAACCCAACCGGATAAAAACGGGCCGAGCACAGAACCCTGTGGGACTCGGCACGGCGCGTTCAGGAACTGGTTTCTGAATCAAAACCATCAGCAAAGAACCAGGCTGGTAAAGAACCAGGCTGGTAAAGAACCAGGCTGGTAAAGAACCAGGCTGGTAAAGAACCAGGCTGGTAAAGAACCAGGCTGTGGAGACACCAGATATCAAACTGATACACTGAACAGAAAGTATTTACACCCTGGGATGTTTTAGCCGTAAAGCTGCTTTAAAAATCAATCATGATCGACATGATGGGGCTTTTTTGACCAAAAAATGCAATAATCAGTTAATCGAACTCTAAATTAGGAAGAGCTCAATAATTTTAATTTGCATGATTTATTATTTTTCTCTTTCTGTCAAAAACTGGATGATAAAATCTTCAGCCTGGTTTTTGTTTTAATTATACTTTTGTTCATAATTCATTATATTTGTTGTTTCTGTTTTGTTAATTTATTTGTGGATATTTAAAATGTTTTCCAGTGTTAATGTTGATTAGGATTTAAAGTTGATTGATATTTCTTGCGTTGTTATTCCGTTATATCATTTGAAGTTGGTCTCAAAACAACAATAACTTCTGGGACAATTTATCATCCAGCAAATTTTGTTATTCTGACAAAATGAATCTCTGCAAAATAACTTCAGATTAAACAAAGAATCTGTAGGAAAAGTCTCAAACTTTCCGGAACGTTTTGAAGATTCTCATCAAGCTCAGCTTTGTCGGAAGACTTGCCTTGATCTCTGCGCTTTCCACCACCAAGCTGAGGGTCACGATGGTGCCGAGGCAGAGACTGATGATCCCAACTCTGTCTGGGATGACCTGAGGATGGTCCTTCAGGACATGATAGGCCTTCTGCACAAACACACAGGCTCCTGGTTGGATGTTTTCATAATCAGGTTCTTTGGATATGAAAGGAAAATGAAATCTAAGGTTTCTTTGTTTTTTGGTGAATGAGCGTTTTAGAGTCTTAGGGCAAAATAAAGTGCAAACCTTCACAATTCTTGGTATTTTTCACACAGCAATGAGTCAGATAATCAAACAAAGAAGAAAAAATGTTCCAGAATTTGCTGTATAAAGTGTTTGTAGTAATTGGTAATGAGAATATTTCCAAAAAAAGTCCTGAGGAGATTGGGCGTTATTTTTTATTGCACCAAGCTACAAAACTAGCTGAACAGGATGAGTGAGACGCTCTGCGACCAGGAATAAAACCAAAGCATCGCCACAAATGAAGAACTTAAATGTAAAAAAGGAAGGATTTAAAGTCATGAAACGTCCACTTTCAGTGATTTACTGATTCTGAAAACAGACGAAGTAAAAGAGAAGTTAGACAAACCTCAAAGTATTCAAAACTCAGATCTGTTGACTTCATCTGCCCCGTTTTGAAATACTCCAGAGCCAAACAGATGTAGCCGCGCGAGGCCAGCAGGGCGGAGCGGTACTCCAGCAGCCCTCCTCCGCCGCCCCACAGGTCCAGAATCCCAGGGAACGGACCAGGACCTGGAGGAGCATCCAGTGTTCAAACTGAAGAGCCATGGATCCAAAGAAGGCTACAAAACAAAAGCTTATGCAGGGATTTTCATAATTTATCAATAATAATAATACTAAAGAAAAGCATTTGATGCTATAGATCATCAGCTGACTTAATACGAGTTACAACAACATTTCATTTCCCTTTGGGATCAATAAAGTATTTCTGAACTGAATTTAACAAAAACGTTCTGGAGCTCAGCGTGGGTTGCAAGGTAACGGGCGGAACTCAACTTCGGTTGCTAGGTAACGGGCGGAACTCAACTTCGGTTGCTAGGTAACGGCCTGCTGATTTGTGACATTCCTATCGGGAGTTAAATTAGAGCATTTTAATGGAGCAGAATATTCTTGGATACGTGGAGAACCAAAGGTTTCAGTGTTGGGTCCTAAACACATAAATAACATGTGCAATGTGTCCAAGTTATTAACATTTATGTGCTAATGATGCTACATTATAAAGGTCTGGTAATAGTTTGCAGCAGCTTCAGAATGCAAGGACAATTACAAGTATTAAAGAAAAGGTGAGACAAAAATAAATTATCACTAAATTGTGGCAAAAAACATGAACGTAATATTTAGTAAGAAGAAATTTTAAAAATAGGTTAAACTCATTACAAAGTGAAATAGAATAGTTTTGTTTTTCAGCATGCTGTGTTTTTTTACTTGTGTATGGAAAGGTTAAAAATGACTGAAATAAATAAATAAAATCGTCCTGCACTGCGGTTTTACCTGGGGGTATGAAGAGACCCCCTCGTAATCCTCCGTCAGTGATTTCGATCCGCTGGATGCCTGGGCCCATGTACCACCTCTCCGTTACCATGGAAACCAGAGGGCTGTTGTCCCGGAAGTCCTCATGTCCATTGTACAGGGAGATGGTGATCAGCATGGGGGTGGTGACGTCCTTCTTCCTCAGCCTGACCAGGGAAGAGTGGAGCAGAATCAGCTGTTGGTTAATTACAAAGTTACATTTATGTTTCCAGATTGATGCAGCACATACATCTATGTGAACGAAGGATGATTGGTCATGTAGGATGTAATTCTCACACACTCTTGCTGAAAAAGTGCTCTGTGGTGGCACCCAGAATGGTAATACAACATGGGAGTGAACCGTCTCCTGAAGGTCAAGGGTCAAGTACAGACTAAAATGTGATTATCTAAGAATGATTCTGTGCAAAAAATGTCCGAACATGTTTTATAGACCAGAGACGCATCCTAACCCGTTAAAGGAATCATTTTTAATGTTTATCCGATTGAGCCACGCAAAAATTTCAATCGAGACGCTGAAAACAAATGACACGTACGATATTTCTTTCTGCAAACGTGACGAACTAACCAGTTGGTTATCTAACCAAACTAACCAGTTGGTTATCTAACCAAACTAACCAGTCGGTTAGTTGGTTAGATATTTGATTTTTAGTCAGAAGACTAAAAACCAAATATCTTTCAATTACTTTAGCAGAACTTGATTGGTTTTGGAACCATTGTGATAAAACTCAGCTTAATTTAAATTTCCGGTGACGTTGGAGTTGAAAATGTCTTGCCTGAGTCCGGTGCGGCTGCCTGGAACCGGACGCAGGCTCCAAATCAAACCCATGGGCTCCCTGCCAGAGTAGGTTCCTCCAAAACTCAGATCCTCCGAAACTAAACACAGAAAACCGAATCAAGCTGAAAGCATCGACATCCAGACTGCATTGGTGGCTCAGTCAGCTGACAAGACATTTTAGAGACCACAACATCTTTTCTTTTAATGGGATAAAATCAGCTTAGAGCTTAAAAAGCTAAAATATTTAGATTTACTTTAATATGTATAATATAAAATTATTTGATTGATTTAAAGCTTTTTTAATATTAAAAATCCTATTTTATTGGTCTAAAGCTCTGAGAAACTTATTGTTGAGCTTTAAATACCTGAAATATATTATTCAGGATGGAATAAATCTTCATATTAGGAGGTTCTACTTTGATTTTTGCAAAACAGTAACTGATCTTATGACTGATTTACCGAGTTGTACATTTACCCCAAGCAGCAACTTATGCTTTTCCAGGAAAATTTACAAGGTGGTAAATATTTTAGTCCTTTTACTAGTCCTTGTTTATTTCCAGTAAAATTTAAAATATTTGTATTAATTTTTATTAGGGGCAGGTTTATGTGTTTTTCACCCATTTTATAGCACAATAGATTAACTTTGTTACATCCAGTTATTATAAAAATGCATCAAATATGATTTAAAAGAAATTTGACTTTGTAATTTAATGCCTTGAAATTGGGCCTCTGTCTCTTTAAAACCTGGGAACTGCAGCTTGGAGGGGGAGCAGCGCCCCAGAGGCGGAGCTAGGTCCATCCAGGCGTAACATGAAGCAAAGCTAAAAGACAGTCGATTTTACAAAACCCTGCATAACATTTTCTGTTAAGCAAAGAGCAAACAGGTGTTCAGGATGTATTTGTCTCCTCAGGCTGATTCGACGGAGACCAGAACCGACCCGACACTCTGCCGCTGTGGTCGCTGAAGTAGTGTCCGTACGCCTCCCAGTCGTCCCCGTCCTCAGAGTGGTGCAGCGAGCGCAGCGTGAACGGCGACACCGGGGGCAGATTCTCCACCAGGACCTCGAACGCCTCGTCCACCAGCGCCCGCGAGGGCCGGACGGAGAGAATCGGAGGAGGAGAGCTCAGAGACATGGCCGCCGATCAGCTGTGGAGAGAAACACGGTGCAGCGCAGCCGCCTTTATATATCCGACTCAAAGTCCAACATGTTTATTATCCTGAGATACAACCGGCAATAAAACGACCAGATTTCACTGCATGTCCTTTAATAATCAGGTTTGCACCGACACTTGGAAGTTACCAAGAGGCAATAAAAATTAACTGATGCAACATTTTTCCAACTGTAAAAGTTTTATTTGATTATTTTATTGTGAGATTTGGGTTCTATTTGATTATAAATAATCTGAAGTGACCTTGAACTTTTAAAATGACCCCAGTTGAACTCGGAGCGTAGAGATAACCGGATGATGACATGCCAGAAACCTCTGATCAATTCAACTTAAGGTGGACTTTTTCCACCTTAAAGACACTTTCACGCCTTTGTCTTTGTGGCGTTTAAATAAACTGATCCCAACAATGTTTGAGAGGAACTAAAGTCCAAACCTGATTGCAGAAATCTGTGACAACTGAGATGAAGCAGAGAGCATCAAAGTTCATCTGGATGCTTTTAAAAAACTGGTTTTCAGTTGGTTAGAAAAGCAGAAAACAAACTTAGTTCATCTCAGAAATTTTTAGATTAATCTCAGATTATCTAGGATCAACTTCCAAGTTTCTCAGTGTCAAAAGTCAAAATTTTTCAACTTTTCAAGTTTGGAAATTTTTCTAGAAAAATTGTAAAATTAATCTAAAACTTTCTGAGATGTTTTGGTAGAACATTGTTTCCAGTTGTTGGAAAAGTAGGAAACAAATAACAGGTAAAAATTTGCTAGAAAAAAAATAAAAATTAGAAATTTATCTCGGAGATTTTTTTTGAATGAACTTGGAAATTCGAAAGTTTCAAAAGTTGAAATTTTTCCACTTTTGAAACTTATAAATGTTCTTTTTTTTTTTTTACTAGAAAATAGCTGAGATTAATCTCTAAATTTTTGGCAGAAGTTTACTTTTCTATCGCCGTCATAGTAAAATACAGTGACGTATTGGAGGGGAAACATATGCTGCAGTTCTGCCTTTTGGCCGCTAGAGGGAGGCGGTTTAGCATAATTCTTCAGAGTGTTGAAAGTTTTTAAACTACATCTTTTAAACCTTCGTCATTTTTTACAGTAAATGTTAAACTTCTCATATTACATTAATCGTCTTTACTGGGATTCCAGCTTTGTGATCTCTGAATCACTTCAGTAGTCATGGTGTTATCCTGCTGCAAATAATCTGTTTGGTTTTTAATCACCGTCACATGCAGCTGCATTATCCATCATCTGAAGCCATTTCATCATCCGTCTCTCTTGTTTCTGATAATTCAGGTTGTTCATGTGAATCTCTCAGCTCGCTCACGGAAAACCTGCTGCAGTGATCAGTGACTTGTTGCACCTGCATGCTTCTGTTTGGTCATTTTTAATAAAAAAATTCATTCAATCGTGGATGTGGGAGATTTTAATCAAACCTTGCAACAGAATCAGCCTTTCTATAAAGAAACTGAAAGCTTGCAGCTTTAAAACGAGTTTTCTCTTGACTCTCAGGTTAAATTCAGTATTTTTAATTGTTTTTAAACATTTATCTTCTTCGCACCAAGTCTGAAAGACACTGAGAAAGTGTAGGCTTGTGAAAATATGTGACTTTATTCAATTAAATCTCGTCCTTTCTGCCATGTAACCATGGAAACTGAAGCAAATCAAGGCCAGTCCACGTTTTACAAACATGGAAATCCATCAAAGATAAGGAACAATAAGAGAACCTGAATGAAAGAAGAGACAGGACTGCCTGCAGTTAGAGCGAAGGAATCCAACCCCAGCTGGAGCTTTTTAAGCTCCATTTAAACATACAGTGGTGGCAAAAAGACAGTAAACATTTTGAACATCAGAACTGATTTTAGAGAAACTTTTTTTTTCTTAGAGTTAGCACAGGGATGCATTTTTTGGCAACATACATGCCTTATTTATTTTCCCCCATATATGAAACTTATGTATTACATATGATTTTCATGTAGGATGGTCAGTTATGATATTTTTTATATCGGTACTAAAGTCGTGTTCAAGATTTTTATTTGTCATAATAAATCACACTTAATAATGTTGACAAAATTGTCTGTATTGTGATTGTAAATGGTTCCCCTTTTTACAATTTTTCATTTTATTTATTGAGAGCATCATTAAATATGAATGTATTTGAATTGATTGTTCGACAC